ATTGTAGTCGATTCTTGATGTAAATAAGAATGTCATCAACAAAAACAAGCTTTATCAAGTATTGTTTGGATATAAAATTAATGAGATTTTGAAATTTTGTAGGCATTAAGGGGTTTTTTCTCCATCAAATGGTAGACAAATCTCCAGAAACATCATAATATTTTGGGTCGGTTTATGCAAAAGTCCTATATTTTATTTTGTTAACAAATAAGTCCTGATAATTGGATAAAAATTTTAAATCAGCAAATTTTTACCGATAATTATTTTTTAACCGGATACCTCCAGAAAAGTCATATTATTTGATTCAGTTTGTGAAAAAAAATAATAACTCTTTATTATTTCAACTTTTTTACCCTTTTACTAAAAATCTGAAAATTTCTTGGTTGAAGTTATAAATAAAAATAAGGTGTTATTTGGTTCGCAGAATATAGCTGAATGAATTTGAATTGGAATTGAAAAAAATGAATATGTCAGGTTTTTGAATCTAATTCCATATGATGTTTGGTTGGTAGGAAACGGAATTTGAATTGATTCTAGAATCTGTTTGGTTGGTAGCAAATTGAATTCATGTAAAATGACATAATTACCCTTTTTGCCTGTTTTGCTTAATTTTACATTGTTTTCTAACTTATATGTAAAAATGCATTATGAAAAATATAAAAGCAGTAGAATTTCGGTGGTGGTGGTAGTGGTGGCGGAGACAGTGGTGGGTGGTGGTGATGGTGGTTGCGACGGTGGTGATGATAGTGGCAGTGGCATTGATTGTGGTGGCGGAAGTGGTAGTGATAGTGGCAATTTTTGCTGGTAGCAGTGGTGGTGGTGGTGGTGATAACATTGGTAGTGGTGTTGAGTAATGGTCGTGGTGGTGATGACGGCAATGGTGGTGGTAGTGGCAACGATGGTAACGACGATGATGGTAGTTGGTGGTGGCATCGCAAGCATTGGCAGTGGGTGGCAGCGGCGGCAGTGGTGGTGGGTTGTGGTCATGGCGGTGGTAGTGGTGGTTGGTGGCAGGGGAGGCGGTGGCGGCAATGATGACGGTGGTAGTGGTTGTGGCGGCAACGATGGTGGTGGTGGTCGGTGGGGCGACATCGTTGGTGGTGATGGTGGCGGTGGTGGCGGCGGCGGTGGTGGTGGTGGTAGCAGCGATAGTGGTGGTGGTTAGTGATAGTGGTGGTAGTGGTGGTGGGTGTTCTGATAAGTACAAGGGGTATTTTTGTAATTTGTCACTTTCCTTGAGAATTAATGTTTTCCATCTAACTTTGGAAGGAATTCACTTTCCTCCATATGGTGGAAAGTTTATTTTTTTTAGGAATCATTTTCCCCCCTCTAAGTCTAACCAAACGCATGAATTTGACAGAATTCGAATCATTTTCCCTCGAATTTCATTCATTTCCTACCAACTAAACGCACCTTAAATGTGATTAAGTTCCATAAAACTAATGATTAAAGACCTCTATAGCCAATTATTTACCACAACACAATAACATTAGCATCATTTTGAACTCATCATCGTCCAAATAATCTATTTCTCTTACAACTTTATGCTACAAGTATTATAATGTATTCAAATTATGTGTTGAATATTTTAGTACAATCTACTTAAAAGTAGATTAAAGGAAAACCAACTCTTATGTTTATATAAGAAACCATTGAGTGATGACAAACCAATCAATATAATAATAGGTTATGTGGGGTTTTACGGATTATAGAGAATTTTATCCTTAAATCTTAAGCATATATGAACAATTCCTCCATGGATTAATTATTGTATAAATATAACAGTTCCTCCATTGATCAAGTACTTACAATTCCTCTATGAGTAATTGTTCATAAAATAATTGATCCATGAGTAATTACTTTATAATTCTTCCAGGAATAATTCCTCCGTAGAGGGATTGTTATGTTCATAAAATAATTGATCAATGGAGGAATTGTTCATATATGTTTAAGAGTTAAGAATAAAAGTCATATTCTTCTCTATAATCCGTACAACCTCACATAACCTACTATTGTATTGATTGGTTTGTCATTAATTAATAGTTTTTTATATTAACATAACAGTTGGTTTTCCTTTAACCTATTTTTAAGTAGATTGTAATAAGGTGTTTACCACACACCTTACCTCATAATTTGAATATTTTATAATACTTATAACATAAATTTGTAAAGGAAATTGAATATCTGGACGATAATGAGTTAAAAAGGATGCTAGCGTCATTGTTTTGTGGAAAACAATTGGTTATATAGGTCTTTAATTATTAGGTTTATGGATCTTAGTGACGTTTATTGTTATATATAATTTCAACCAAGAAGTTTTTAGATTTTTAGTGAAAGGGTAAAAAAGTGTTTTTTAAAGGAATTTTTCATAAACTTTGCCAAATAATGAGACTTTTCTAGAGGTAATCGTGTAAAAAATAATCTATTGGTAAAAAAGGATTGATTTTGAATTTTTTATCCGGTAATCGGGATTTTTTTGTAAACAAAATAAAATTTAGGATTTTTGCATAAACTGACCCCAAATATTGGGATTTTTCTGCAGAGTTTCCTTAAATCATACATAAGTGAAGTGGCTAAATTATTGTATAAATTATTTGGATATCAAATGTATGACACCATAAATTGTTGTAAACACAAGAAATATAATCTTCTAGACGAATAAATTGTCTAAACTAAATCTAAATGACTATTTTACATGTACACTCTTAAAAATAAATTTCACAATATTTAGAAATTTTAACAACGCTTGATCAATTTAAATGTAGAGTAGTTTGGGAAGGAAAAGAAATAAGTAATTAATTAGAATCTTATCCCATTCAACAAGGTTTTAACTAATACATCAAGCAATACAGTACAAACATACTTCACCTAATAATATTTAAACATAATACAACCAACATGATTAACAAAACGGTCAAAGCCAAATCAAGATCCAAAACTAAGTTTGATAGTAAACAAAATACCAAACAAATGTCAACCCACGTGCTCATCATTTAGATCTTCGTTCTTCATCTTCATATATTTGCTTCCCTTGGTTATATAAAACACTAAAATCCTCAAAAATCAAAACCTAAGCTAAGATTTTCATTTTCTTAGCAACAGTTGTCGCCTGATTCTCAGACGAAAATTTTATATAAGCTTTTGTGTTACATCATGTTGAAGAGTGTGTTAATCTTCTTTGTCTTGATCTTAAGCATGTTTTCAAATGCATTTCTAATGTCTTTCTTATGAGCACGAACATCCACCATAAAAACTAATGTATTTTCTTTTATGATTTTTTGTATTGCGGCTTCGGTTACAAGTGGATACTTGAGAACTAGTTGATAGTCCAATGATGTTTGTGTGGTTGTGCTTTCTTTTGGAGATTGCTTTGAATCGACAAATGTTACGAATTGTTTTTCCGGAATTCATTCCTTGACATTGTCAAGTTTAGGCTTACTAGTGTTGATACATTTCTCTTGGGTAAGTTTCTGATATAACAATGTAAAAGAAATACAAAACAAATGTAAAATAATCAATTACATTTATAGCATAAATAGAGCATTTAAATATTGTCATACAAAAAAAAAAAAAAAAAAAAAAAGAATACCATTGTTAATGATCCTAAAGTGTATTTTGTTGAGAATTTAGAAGTAGTGGAACTAACTTGACATTTGTTCAAGAAAAGTTGTTATAAGAATGATGGTAGTGGTGGAATCGATAAAGTAATGAATTGTTCACTCCATTGGAATGATGGAAAAAAAATATTTTTGTTTTGCGAGATGGAATGGAATTGGCAAATCTTGAAGGAATGTGATTCCTTATGTTGTCCTGATTTATTTTTGTTAAATAACTAAAAATATATTATTCTTATTATAATCATTTTAGGGTTTTAATGATTTTTATTATGTCTAATCTTTTTTTTGGTTAATCTCATAAAAAACTTTATATTTTATGTTTTTTCTAGATGAAACCTCAAACTTATTTTTTTTCTTGAAAAAGTTCTAGTGTTTTTTCATTTTTTTTTGATCGGACCCTTTCAGTTATTTTTTTCCAAAAAAAAAAAGTTGTTAAATGTTAGGGGTTTTTCGAGAAATATTAAAAGAGTCGGGCTTTATTTGAAAGCAATTAGAAGGTTCAAATTTTTTTGAAAAAAATACAAAGTTGATGGTTTTTTCGGTAAAAACGAAAAAATACAAGGTCTTTTTAGGCAAAAAATAAAATTGAGGCTTTACCTAGAAAAAAACATAAAATATAAGGTTTTTTATGAGAATAACCAAGTAAAAGTTCATTATAATTTAAATTATATACATTATAATTGAAATTATACATTGTACTTGATATAGTATTTATACTTCATATAAGATTTCACTCCACTCATACATGACAACCAAACATCATCATGGAATGCAATCACTCATTCCATTACTACGTTGTCCATTCCATTCATTCCTCATTCCATTCCATTCCATCCAACCAAAAAACCGAAAAGCGAACCTACGCACACGAGATAACATATGAAACTACGAATCAACTTCTTTGTGCAAAAAAATTGCTAACTTCAACCCGTTGCATCACTAATTTCCATTTTCAATAATTAAGAAAATGCATTAAACACATCACTTGATTTTAATCCTTTACAATTTAATGTTAATCTAGAATAAATCATATACCACATGAAATAACCAACCCTCACTTCCACATTCCATTTTTGAAGGCTTAAAAGTAACTTCAAGAATAAAACTAGTGGAATAACAATATGTTTCGTTTTCTCCCTACAAGTCCCAAGTAGTTACCTTTTTTAGGTGTTAAAAGTGGCCACTACTACATAAACCCGAAAGGGATTACATGTTGACACCAAAGAAACACATCAACACGACTTCTTGTAAAACAAGATTTAACTTTTTAACCATTCTTTAGAACTTATATTTTCTCACCATAGTTTTTTTTGTTCATTAAATGATATATAAGTAAAATGGCTAAATTAATGTATGTCTAGATAAATTGTTTGGATATCAAATGACCATTTTATATATACATCCTTAAAAACAAATTTCACAATATCTATAGTTTTTAACAACACTTAATCAATTTAAATGCAAGAGTTGTTGTGAGGGAAAAAAGGGCAAATAAGTAATTAATTTGTGTCTTAACCAATTAAACAAGGTAATATTTAAACATAATACAACCAACATGATTAACAAAAGGGACAAAACCAAAATCAAGATCCAAAACTAAGTTTGGTAGTTTAAACAAAATACCAAACAAAAGTCATATTGTCAACCTACATGCTCCTCATTTTCATTTTCATCTTCATATCTTTGCTTCCCTTGGTTATATACAACATCAAAATTAAAATCCTCAACAAAAATCAAAATCTAAGCTAAGATTTTCATTTTCTTAGCAACAGTTGTCGCCTGATTCTCAGGCGACAACTGTATGAAAGCTTTTTTAGTCCCATCATAGTTGATGAGCGTGTTGATTTTCTTTGTCTTGATCTTAAGCATGTTTTCAAACGCGTTTCGAATATCTTTTTTGTTGGCACGTACATCGACCATAAAAACCAAAGTATTTTCTTTTATGATTTTTTGTATTGCGGCTTCGGTAACAAGTGGATACTTGAGAACTAGTTGATAGTCCAATGATGTTTGTGTGGTTGTTCTTTCTTTTGGAGATTGCTTTGAATCGACAAATGTTAAGGATTGTTTTTCGAGAACTGGTTCCTTGAAATTGGCAACTTTAGGCTTTGTTGGTGTCGATATGCTTCTTTTGGGTTCGAGTTTCTGATATAACAAAGTTAAAAAATACAACACAATTATATTAATAGAATAAATAGAGCATTTAATATTGTTATATTAAAAAAACATGTAGTGGAACTAACTAATATTTGTTCAAGAAAAGGAATGGAATGGTTCGTTCCATTGGAATGACGGACGGAAAAAAATGTATTGGTTTTGTGAGATGGAATGGAATGGGTGAATCTTGAAGGAATGTGATTCCTTATGTTGTCTTGATTTATTTTTGATGAATAACTAAAAATATATATTATTCTTATTATAATCATTTTGGGGTTTTAATGAGTTTTTATTATGTTTAATCTTTTGTTCTTGGGTTAATCTCATAAAAGACCTTATATTTTGTGTTTTTTCCGGATTAAACCACATCTTTATTTTTTTCATAAAAAAGACCTTATATTTTTTCTTTTTTTCCGAAAATACTCTGAACTTTTGTCTTTATTCCGAAAAAAAACCTCAATCTTCTAAATGTTTCCAAATAAATCCTAATCTTTTTTAGTTTTTCCTAAAGAACCCTCACATTTCACAATTTGGTGAAAAATGACTAAAAGGGTCAGATCGGAAAAAATGAAAAAATGCAAAGTCTTTTTCTTGAAAAAGATAAAATTGAGGGTTTAATCCAGAAAAAACACAAAATATAAGGTCTTTTCTGCGATTAACCCTTTGTTTTCTAAGTAAAAGTTCATTATAATTCAAATTATGTACATTATAATTGAAACTATACATTGTACGAGATATACAATTTATGTTTCATATAAGATTTCATTCCATTCAAAGAGGCAAACGAAACATGATCATGGAATGCAATCACTCATTCCATTACTACTTTGTCCATTCCATTCATTCCTCATTCCATTCCATCCAACCAAAAAACCTTAAAGTGAACCTAGACACACGAGATAACATATGAAATTAATGAATCAATTTCTTCGATATTTAAGAAAATGCATTAAACACATCCCTTATTCACTTGAGTTTAATCCTTTACAATTTAATGTTAATTTAGGCTTAAAAAGAACATCAATAACAAAACTAAAGGAATATGTTTCGTTTTCTCCCTATAAGTCCTAAGTAGCTACCTTATTTAGGTGTTAAAAGTGGCCACTACTACATAAACTACAAAGGGATTACATGTTGACACCAAAGAAGCACATCAACACGACTTCTTGTAAAGCAATACTTTTTCACCATTGTGTTTTCATAACCACAATCAAAACACATTTCAAGGTTTTACATCTTATTTGACTATTTTGCAACCCTCCATAAATGTCAGATAACAATCTGCAACCATAAACACATGTGGCTTCGATAACTAGTTTGCAGATTCTGAATTCTTACGCTCTTCTTACTTCCAATTACTTTGCACTCAGGTTAATTACATAATCATACTGGATTTGTTCGTAGAAACACACATACGAAAGAAATTGAACTCAGAATTTAAAATTTCACATAAGCATAGAAATGTAATATGCGAAAAAATGGATAAGAAGTTACCGGTTCATCCTGGTAGGCTTTGATTGCGAAAGAAGATGGGTTATGCGTGAAATTTGAAGGAATCTTGAAGTTGATAGGGTTTACGAAACCCCCTTTTGAAGAAGCAAAAGCTTTTACCGATGGCGGAGATGCTGATGAATGATTTCTGATCTGGACAATCATGTTTGAAGAAGAAAATATGACTGCCATGGATTTGCTGTTTTCTTGAATTACTGATAAAAATAGAATTACGAATTTTGGAAGATATGAAAGGGTTTAATGGATGAAGAGGGTCTGTGGCTTTGGAGTCTGGATTGTTTCACGGATAAAAGATTATAACGTTATTGCAAGATAACCCCTGATGTTTTGTTTTTTTCAAAGTCGTACCCAATATTTTCATTCTCATCACAATCTTTCCCTGAATAAAACATCGGTTAAAACATCGGTGAATGGAGTCGTTCTGGACTACATGCGGTTCAAAGACGGTATCACTGTCGACACGGGACCACTAAGGTGTGGTACTGGAGATTCGTCAAAAGAGTTGTAGTGGTGTTGCCAGGATTTTATTATATATTTTATAAAAATATGAACGAGTAGCAAAATACTTTAAATGATAATAAAATGTAACAATGTGCACATTTTAAAGTAAATTATTCATTTATGTTGCGTACAATGCTATCTTACATATTTGAAATCATCTAAAATGGAATTTAAACTGGAAATTTTAGCGATATCTTTTTCGAAGGAACGAACCAGACTATCAACCATAAAATCATCATCATCCATTTTATTATACGGTCTATTATGCTTTTTTTGGTTTGTTTCCATTGTTCGGCGAAATTTACTAATCACAGAAAACTTCAATACAAACATAATATTATAATTTTATACAAAATGATTTTTATATGTAATAAAATAATTAAAATAATTAATTCGTAGAAAAAAGTAACAACCGAATTTATATAAAACATGCCATAAAACATAAAATCAATACAAACCTAAATGGCTAAACTAGAAAGAAATAAATCAACTAAAAATTATCGAACATGAAAAAATAAAACAATTAATTGATTAATTAAGATAATTAAAATTAATTTACGAATACGATGAATGATTATGTGATCTACTCAAAAACTTACAACAATTATTTAATTAGCATGTCGCAGATACAAGTATGTAACAACAAAAAGTATTATCTACATATAGAAATTTTGAAGTTTTTAATAGATTGGCCATATAGAAATTAGCTTGTCACAATTCACACAACACCACAACTCTTGGAATAACTTTGAGAGAAGTACAATATCACTCAAAATCGGTTAGCCCTCCTTGTTCTAGTTTTAGTGCCAATTTTTCTAGCCTATGAGGTCTTTATATAGTGTGTCACAAGTAGGGTTACACCATGTAAACCCTAATTGACATGGCTTTTCATTTCCTCCATGATCCATGGGTTTTAACCTTCATGGAGCACCCAGTGAGTTTTAGCCCAATTCAATAAACCATGGATCATTAGCCCACTATATACGAATAAATGATTTACGTAATCAACCCCATATATTTAATTAGTCTCTTTTTTATCACAAAATTAATTCAAAATTAATTCTTGATCAATACTAATTAAATAATATGATTTCATATTAATATATTATAACTTATAGTATATTAACAAATCATAAGTGTTCTTCTTCTCAATTTGTCTATCCAATCATCATGATGCCATGCAACCCAAATAGACCATGCCAACCGGGTCAAGTACATATCAAAAATAGTTATGGACTTAGACACATTATCCAACAGTCTTCCACTTGGATAAGTCTAATAACTATAGGTGTAAGTATGAATTCAGGAACTAATCATCAATCGTAGCTCTTTCAAAGTCTCGCGGAACTAAGATGACCAGCCATTTAAGATAAGTGATCATATAATCCTCTGCTCTCAAGATATCAGCCGGAAAAATACATGGAACAATGTCGTACTTATTGTCCAACAGTTTGTTTCTCGATTTCCGATTTGTTTGACATCAATTTAGTTCTGACCGGGCCCGATACATAGGTCAAAGCAAAATCATCGAGGGGCCCAGATATCGCTTCTAATCCTCCAAGGACTAGAAGGAACAAATAAACTTCGCCTCATATGCTTATTCTACTACTTGTTGAATCATACACAAAGGCACATTTTATAACATCGAGTTACCAATGTGTTTTCATACAATCAATGTACAACCAACTCATAGTCAACAACTCATATCTCTAGGTTTGAAGACTTATATGATAAAACCGTCTCACGATCACTCGAGATAAATTCCATGAAGTGATACAAGTAAGTGTGGGTTGAATCCAATACTCGAATCACTATTCCAGGAGTACTCATGAACACTACAGCCCCTTTGTCCCAGACAAATTGCAGACCCATTCATGACAGTCTTTCCTCATTACCTACTTCCAAAGTCTGATTGACTGTGGATGGTTTGAATAATATAATATACCATAACATAATTATTCTGGAAGTCAAAACATGCAAAAATGAAATGATAGTAAACGATTGACAAAAGATAACAACACTTTACTTATAAATAAATAACAACTTTTATTTATCATCAAATGTCAATTACACTTTACAAATTTAAAAAACTATCTAATTTCTAAAACTGATATCATCCTTTAGCCCAATGTGCCTCACATGCTGAAGATGTTTAACCCTACCCAATCCCTTCGTGAGGGGATCTGCTGGGTTCTCATCCGATGATACCCTATTTGCCACGAGGAGTCCTTCTTCTATTCGATGTCTAATGAAATGGTATTTTCTATCAATGTGTCTGGATCTCCCATGATCCTTTGATTCCTTGGCTAAGGCAACTACACTTTCACTATCACAGAAAATCCCCATAGGCTCCTTTATAGTTGGTACTACTCCAAGGTCTCCAATGAAGGTCTTCAGCCATATCGCCTCCTTTGCTACCTCGCTTGCTACTGTGTACTATGATTCGCAAGTTGAATAAGCTATTGTCTCCTGCTTGGAACTTTTCCAACTAATTGCTCCTCCGTTTAAGGTAAAGACCTAGCCTAACTGAGAGTGGAAATTATCCCTGTCAGTCTGGAAGCTAGCATCACTATACCCTACTACTCTCAAGTCATCACTTCCACCGAGGGTAAGGACCCAATCCTTAGTCCTCCGCAGGTACTTGAGAATGTTCTTTACCGCAGTCCAGTGAGCCTTGTCAGGGTTTCCCTGTTATCTGCTGACCATGCTCAAAGAAAAGGCTATATCTAGACGAGTACATGTCATAACATACATGATCAAGCCTACAGTGGAAGCAAACGATGCTCGACTTATGTCATATATCTCATCCTCTGTACTCGGGCTCTGATTCTTACTCAGTTTGGCGTTGCTTAGGGTCGGTAACTCTCTTTTCTTAGAATCCGGCATTTTGAACCTATGCAACACCTTATCTGAGTAGGTACTTTGACTAAGTCCAATTAGTCTCTTACTCCTGTCTCTCAAAATCCTTATCCTTAGGACATAGGCAACTTCTCCAAGGTCCTTCATAGTGAAACACTTCCCAAGCCACGACTTCACCTCCTAGAGAGTTGGGATGTCATATCCAATGAGTGGTATGTCATCCACATACAATACCAAAAAGCTAACTATACTCCTACTAGCCTTGACATATACAGGACTCATCTTCGCTCCTCGAAAAACCAAACTCTTTGACTTTCTCATCGAAACAAAGATTCCATCTTCGAGGTGCTTGTTTCAATCCATAGATGGATTTCTCAAGCTTACATACTCTATTAGGGTACTCTATGCTGAAAAAAAAATCCTCCAGTTGACTCATGTAAACATCCTCAGCCAACTTTCCATTAAGTAAAGCGGTTTTAACATCCATTTTCCATATTTCATAATCATGAAATGCAACAATGGCTAGCATACCCCTAATAAAATTAATATTCGCTACCGGTGAAAAGGCATCATCATAATCAACTCCTGGAGTTTGAGAAAAGCCCTTTGCAACCAGTTGCGCCTTATAAGTGTGTACATTACCATCCATGTGGTTCTTCTTTTTGAAGATCGATTTGCACCCAACTGTCTTACGACTTGGTACGTTGTCAACCAAGTTCGAAACTTGATTGTTATACATGGACTGTATCTCGTTGTCCACAACCTCTTTCCATTTAGCAGACTCGGGGCCTGCCATGGCTTCCGTGTAGTTGTTAGGTTCATCCAAACTTACCAGTGTACTATCATTAATAAGTGTATCACCTTCCACAATAATATAGAAACCATAGTAATGCTCATGTGCATTCCTAACTCTCGTGGAACGCCTTAGAGGTACAGACTTTTCAGTTAGATCAACAGGAATTTCCTCCTCAGGTTGACTGCTAGGCTTTGAGGTTCCTTCACCACTTAACTCTTGAATTTCTTCAAGGTCAATTTGCCTCCCACTGTTCCCTTGGCTTATGAACCCTCTCTCGCGAAAGACTGATCTCCTTGCCACAAAGACCACATTATCAATGGGTCTATAGAACAGGTAACCAAAGGATTTTTGTGGGTAGCCGATGAAAATACACCACTTATATCGAGGTTCGAGCTTATCTTAAGTCTCGCGCCTCACGAAAACCTCACAACCCCAAATCTTAATGTGGTCCAAATTGGGAACTTTCCCAGTACACATCTTGTGAGGTGTTTTGGCAACCTTTTTGGTAGGGACTAGATTAAGAATATGGGAGGCAGTCTCTAAGGCATACCCCCAAAATGAGATTGGTAGTGAAGCCCAACTCATCATGGAACGAACCATGTCCAACAAGGTTTGATTACGCCTCACAGCTACACCATTAAGTTGTGGTGTTCTGGGAGATGTCAATTGTGAGACAATCCAACATTCCTTAAGATAGTCAAGGAACTCTATACTAAGATACTCACCAACTCGATTGGATCGAAGCATCTTAATGTTCCTGTCCAGCTGATTCTTCACTTCCTGTTTAAACTCTTTGAACTTTTCAAAGGTTTCTGACTTATGCTTGATTAAGTAGACATTGCCATATCTACTATAATCATCAGTAAAAGTCACATAGAAGCGGTTAGCATCTCTTGTGGCGATTCTAAAGGGTCCATACACATCTGTGTGTATGAGATCCAACAAACCTTCACCCCTAGCACAGGTACCAATGAAGGGTGATTTTGTCATTTTTCCAAGTAAACAAGATTCACAACTATCATCTGACTTTAGGTCAAATGACTCAAAGACTCCATCCTTTTGGAGTTGGCCTATGCGTTTCTTGCTAACATGTCCAAGACGATAATGCCATAATGATGCTTTATCCAAGCTAGTGGA